AAAGAAATGAGAGTTTTATATATCACAGCAAAAAGTAACGCACTAATCGAAAAGCGCGCACAGCAATTAGTGTCCCTTACAATCTAGCATTACTTAATCGATTCATTTGTTTTTAATAGCCTTTATCGACTACTATGTCTACCTGAACATTTGTTTGTTTGTTTAATCATGCTGTTTTTCATTATTGGTGTTATCATAGATTGCCTCACTTTTTCATCCTTATTATTATTACTATTATTATTATTATCATCATCATCATTACTACTATTATGTCTGATTGCACAATTTATATTCACCATCGTATCATCCTATAGACGAAACACCATGATTGGTTTATTGAATTGAATTTTTGATTTTCCCGTCGATTGATTGAACCGAAGTTCAATAATAATATGACCCGTTGCACAAGAGGTGGCCAGCTCTCGTGGCCCAAGTGGTCTAGTGGATAACGCTTTGGCGTTTGAAACTATGGGTACTGGGTTCGAGCCTCGGTGGGAACGTCATCACTCACTGAGAAATGCAGGTACATCCAGATGACGAGTCCCAAATAGGACGAAATGCGCGTCCTGGATTCCACTTCTAGTCACCATTCACCAATTAAATAATGATTGGTTTATATTTGAACTTTTATTTGTGAAGTTATGAATATTAGAGTTAAGCCTGATGAGATCCCATTGAAAACAATATTGTTCGCTTAAATGTATTTTTCTCAAAAGAAGGTAGGCTGGGTATGAGGCTAGCAACCGCAAACCGTAAAAATAAACATCAGTGCTACCGAAACTTCAGAGCTCTAGCTTGAAGCCCAATGCTCCACTGGGAACTCAAAAGAATAAAAAGAAATCCCTCTTATTTTTACTGACACTTTAGAACTATAAGTTATCGATGTTAATCAATCAATGTTAATTAAAACTTTAATACTATTAATTAAGAATAATTATGTATGGATATATAACTGCAGAACTTGATAATGGAGATGTTGGAAAGAATATGCTTTCAAAATTCAAAGTGTGGATTTCTTTTATTCAATTAAAATATAAAATGAAGAATAATATAGAAACCAGCTAAAGAACATTACAAGGCTACACACGATTTTATGGAACTAAGACAATGAAGCGTAACTACTCTTTGAAGGCATGCGATATAATCTACTAGTCGGCCTAGACGTCAGGAGATTTAATGGTAGTTCTAGTCTACTATGTAAGAATAGCGAATTTAAGTGTTGGTTTGTAGGGATTTTGTTGATTGGTTACAGGATTTCATCATGAGCTGACATTAGTTAGAGAACCATTGGAAAACCTAGGAGTACTGGACATCTGTTTCGTCAGCCTATTTTGGGACTCTTCATTAGTACGCACACACCGGGATTCGAACCCAGGACCTTCCGGTTACAAGGCGAGCTCGTATACCATTAAGCCACTGGGACCCGATCCAATGGTCCTTGAATTCTAACTCCTGCCAATTCACGACATAGCGCGACACCTAGCCAATGTCTTTGGCGAGTATTTGTCCTCACACCCGACCGGCTGCATCCTACTGGTCACGACTTCCCACTGGAACCCAGGTAACTACCTACCTGAATAGGGCCAGTCGCCAGCGAATTTCCCTGACTGACTGGTTTCACAGGGGACTTTGTGCAAATGTGCAGCAGTTCAAGCTGCCACACTCCATTTAGCAAACAACGCAAGACAAGAGAGTAATAAGAGATTCAAACGAGAGAGAGATAATAAGCAGAAATATGAGGTGAAAAGAATAGTGATATGAAAGAACAGTCGATTTTTGTTGGATAATAAAAATCACAAAGAGTGAACGCATCTATGATATTGACAACGGTTTCGAGTTATATCATCGATTGTCTCTAGTCATTGATTTTTATCATTCCCGAGGATCCCAACCAAGAAGCCAGTATACACCATCCTACGTGATTGGCTTGTGGATTTCATTAACTGATGTCATGCTTTGGTTTGACCACCGCTAGGCATGCGTAGCACATGTACCAACCATCTTACTCAATTAATGTATTTTCACAACTTCATCCGCTGATTTACTCTCCAGCCTACTTAGCGCTCTAGGCCTAACCTAAATATTGCTCACCCTATTATATCATCAAACACGAGAGAGAACACCGACACCTATGATCGAAGACACCTAGCCAGCCTTTCCATGTCTTCCGCTCCAAATGGTCATATTTAACACCCAGATATAAAAGGAGGACGGAGCGAACTTTTGAGCAGTTCACCCGTCCTTTGGTCGACAGCCAGCCGGATATCATCAAGACAAAGATGGCATAAGTTGGCACATGCATGCCAAACGAGCCTTCTGTATTCGTGCTAAGATTTTATCAGCGATCAACTCGTCTGTCTGCCGCCAGCATCTATGGACACGGTTTATCGTAACGCAATTAGGATCTTTTGGTGACGTTGGATGATGCTTGGGCCAAGGAAGGGACGTGGCGATTTGGAAGCAGATAGAAAAGTAAGTAATGATGAGTTGTCTATTATTTGTAATGATGTGTATGATGCTCAGCATGATGTTCATGTTTCGCCGTCTAGTGATAGTAAGGGTTTCAAACCACAAAAATTTGAGCCTCGGTATTTTGATGGAAACCCAGCTGACTATCCACAGTCTGTAAAGGAGTTTGAAGTCATGTTGAGCGGTTTTGTAATAAATGACGAAATGAAGTTGATGTATTTGTTGAGGTATTGGACTGGAGTCGCTGCAAGAGTTATAAAGTGTTGCAAGTTCATGCCCCCAAACGAAGGATACACAAAGGCTATGAGGATATTACGTCAAAGGTTTGGAAAGCCATTTATGATATCCAGAAGTGTTTTTGAGACCATTAAAGGTAATGGGGCGTAGTTAAGTGATAACTCCGCGGAACTCGCAGAGTTTTTGGATAATTTAATGGAGTATAGAAACACTTAATTATGTGGAATAATTGAACTCGAGTTCTGTGCTTGAGGTAATCGCTAAGAGATTACCCGTTCGCTTACAAATAAAGTTCATAAAAATCAGCTCCCATTTAGAAGAGGATTCGATGATATCGTGAGATTGCTAAAAGACAATGCCAATCAAGCGACGGGCAAGTTTATCAGCATTTTGCAATAGTAGAACCTAAGAAATCAGTGAAATGCACTTGTAGTGAATGCACAAGGCACGATGAGAAAGGTTAGAGTGTATCATTTGCCGTAACACGCACCACCTTAGTGATTGTAATCGTTTCATTGTAATGCCTCCTATAGAAAGGTTGAGAATGTCAAAGCACAAACGGTTGTGTTTTAGTTGCTTAAAGGTGGGACACACAAGGTTGAACTGTAAGGCAACAGACAAAGGAGGTAGCAGATCAACAGATCCGCATCCACTTTTGAGGATAGTAAACAAACCGGTGAATTCCATTAATTGTAACAGTACCTGTAGACCCCATGATGAGAATGGTGTGGTGAAGAAGCCTTTAGTTACAATTGATAAGCCATTGTTGAATAGCGTGTTACAGACGACACCGCAGTTTGTGCAGAAGAAGCGACTTACAGTTTCAGAGTCCAGTTCTGACTCCACAAGTTTACAAGGTATTACTGGTCACAGTAAAGGGATAAAACCTTTAAAATTTCATGAGGAAGAATCCAAACTGCCTACTGTTGTTATTAAAGAGGTTGAAAATGGTGAAGTTGACCATACAAACGGCGGTAAAGTGAATATTTGTGATAATGATCATGACGGTGCACATTTGTCTTTGGTTGATCATGATGAGAAGAGCGGAATGCCTACTACTACTGAGTTGAACAAAAGTTCTGTACTAACCTCGATCTTAATTGCCAAACAATACAAATTCTTTCTTACAAGTACTGGTGTTTCGGAATTAAAGGTTGAGAAGCGGTTGCAGTAATTATCGATTCGGAGCGTCTCCGCAAATAATAGGAACTTAGGGTTAAGTCCCTTGAATCCTTGTTATTTGTAGTACCTTCATTACTACTTTTATCTCCACAAGTATTGGTTTGTGTAGGGATTTTTTTTGTTTCACTGGTTACGGGATTTCATCATGAACTGATATTAGTTAGAGAACCATTGAAAAACCTGGCAGTACTAGACAGATGTTTCACCTCAGTTTGGGACTCTTCCGCAGTGTGCAGCCACCTCCAGAGGTCGAACCCAAAACCTTCTGGTTAAAAGGCCAACTCATAGACCACTGAACCACTGGGAGCCGATCCAACGGTCCATGAATTCTTTATTTGTTTGATTTAATTATTTAAATTTTCTAACTTACAAGTTACATTCTTGGTTTGATTATAGAAACACTTAACTAAACCTACTTTTACAGATTTTGGGAAGGATGGATTAAAGTTCAGGTATTTATTAGAATGCATCAAGACGTGGTACAACTACATAAAGTGAGCTATCAAGTCGTATAAATTACCCCCAATATATATGAGTATGAGCAAAACAGTTGTGTTTAAAAAGTCATTCAAGAGTTAGTAATATTGTATCACACATTGTGTGTTATATGAAACAAACTTATCCAGTATGGAATTAGTCTTCAATTCGTCTGTCTGTCTGTTTTCGACATAGAACTTTGCACAAATGTGCACCAGTTCAAGTCGCCACACTCCCTCCTTGTAGCACACAAAGAAAGAGAAGTAGAAAAGAAATGCATAATAGAGACAGTAAGCAGAGGTGTGAGACAAAGGAATAGTGATAACGAAGAACAAAACAGTTTCATTGGGTATTATAAGTCACAAGGAGTGGATGCGTCTGAGCCAGCCATTGACAACGATTTTGAGCCATATCACCAATTGTTTCCAACCATTGGGTTTTACCGTCCTGAGGACCCCAAATAGGAGGCCAGTCTACACATTCCTACGTGACTGACTTAAACTAACTGTTGTGGATTTCATTGACTGATGAAGCCATGTTTTGGTTTGACCGCCGCTAGTTCTTTTCCAGCCTGACCCTATGTCAGCTAACATTGCCTATTCTCGGGGAAGGCGATGACTAGGCATGCATGCGTAACACATGTCCTAACCATCTCAGTCAATATAACTTCACAGCCTCGTCGATTGATTTCTCCTCATTACCTAGCACTCGACGCCTAACCTCAATATTAATTTCTCCAATTTATTAGATAATCACCATGTTTTTGGCATCGCGAGTGGATTCATAGGGGCTTCAGTAACGGCGATGTCCTCTTTCTCTTACGGGGTCTACGAATGCGTCGTCGACCAGGAAACACAACCAAACTACTTGTCCCTATTATTATTATCATTATTATTAAAACTTTAATTACTCATCATTTCATAAACACATAATCATCTTCTATAGTTATGTAATCATCAAAATATATAACTGATCACCCAGTATGTATCGTAAAACCAAATGGTATACAAACAAACACCATACCCACCGTCCCAATAATACTCTATTCTACGATTAGTAGTGGTGGTGGTAGTAATAATAATAAGTATGTGTATCAATGCAGAAAGCAGTATACAAATACCGAGTTGTTTCTCAAAAGACAAAAACACAAAATGAAAAGGGCAAACCAATAAACTGACTGCAGATAGATAAATGATTAGCTACATGAATGGCAAAAAAAAACAGCAACTGAGAAAAGATGAAGTCAGCAAGACAGAACAAAGCCAACGAACGAACGAAAGAACACCAAAAGTGTTTCCTTATAATGAATGATCAAAAGAGAAAAACAGATAGTGATATTATTGAAAAAGAAGAAAGCAAAAATTGATATATTGCACAATACGCTTCGCACACATACATACACACACGTAAGCACCAACGCACTCGATCACATACACAAGCATACTGATAGAAGCAAACATGTCATTTGTACCCAATAACACCATGACTATGTGAACATAATATGAAGAATCTCTTGTTTGCATATTTTTCGTAAGTAATTATAGCAGTAGTAGTATATGTGCGGACAAGTAAAATAAAACAAAATGAGGTAAATAATGCTGTTGTAGTTGTTGATGATAATGATGATGATGATGATGGCCGTTTCTCCACTTGTTGTAGAAGGCAGCGTAATATATAATTTTGAAAAAAAAATATCACATTAGCAAGTTAAGTGACTTGTGATAGTGAAATTATTGATTATTTTTCAAGGACTAAGGTATAAATAAATATTAACCAATGAAATTAAAATGACTATCAAGGACAAAAAGTAAGCGTAAGACAATTAGAATAAATAAACAAAAAAAGGAAGTTTATAATTATTGAACAATGGATTCATTCACATTCATATCCATTGTATCGTGAGTTGTTGTTGTTATTATTTTTTGATGATCAAATATTATTTCACAGCCTAAAAATTGAAATGAAAGTCTAGTTACACACGTATACACATTTCAGTATGTACAGTTCGAAATTAAGGTTGGCGGGTATTCTTTTTTTGTTGTTTGTTCAATGATCAATAATGTGAGTAGGAACATACGCTGTAAATATTAATAATTAACTATGAGCTATAGGTGATCCCATTAAATTCGCTGAAGTTGGACGAGTTGTACTACCAGAATTATTACCAGTATTGTTCACAGTTGAATTACTACTATTTGGAATAATTGAACGACGTGATTTTGATGTTTCTTTAAGTGTTTTATAATTATTCCATCTATCATTAATATGTTCAGTAAATGGTTTACCATTAGATAAGAGAAAATTTGATGAACTTTTCGCTTCATATTGTTCAATAGCTGATAAGGCTTCTTTTTCAGTACGTTCAACTTCTTTCAGTAAACGTTTTTTTTCTTTTTCAGTTTTTAATAATATACCACCACGATTTAAAAATATTGCTGGATCTTTAAGACGTGCTTCTACATCAATTAATTGTTTCCAACAATTTTCATAGACAGCAATACATTCATATACAGGACGATATAATGAATAGGTTTGATTTAATTGTTCTAATACAGTCTCTAAATGATTGACTAAAACTTCAGGATCACGTTTATCACAACCATTGGGCAGTTGAACAATCTTTTCATCAACACAACAAAGATTAGCTAATCGAAGTGCTTCACTTTCTAAACGAGTTAAATAGGTTTGCATATTTTCCCATTTCAATTGCTGACATCGATCAACTTCTTCCTTTAATGATAAAGAAAACAGAAAGAAGATAATTCACGTATATTTCATGAATCAGTAAGTAACTAAAAAGAAGGTGGGAAAAACAACGCAATAGCAATAAAAAAGAACTATTTTTGTTTATGAATACAACTCATTCAATAGTGGTTACACGTTTAATGACTTTCAAGAACACAAAACTAGGAAATATGATATTCGTGACAAACTAGTTATAATTGAGATGTAAGCAAATGACAATTAAGTTTCACGAGTTGATCACGGATTGATATCAGTTAGAGAACCATTGAAAACCAGCAGGGAGTACTGGACAGCTGCTGTTTCATCCTAGTTTGGGGATCATCGGCAGTACGCACCCACTGGGATTCGAACCCAGGACCTTCCGGTTACAAGGCAAGCTCGTATACCATACTGTCGATGATTCCCAAACTAGGATGAAACAGCAGCTGTCCAGTACTCCCTGCTGGTTTTCAATGGTTCTCTAACTGATATCAATCCGTGATCAACTCGTAAAAACATAACAAACCCTTACAAACCAAACTATAGAAAATTAGGTTTCATCCCATCTGTGTCTGCTGAATAAATTCCAGAAAGGGGGAATATTGAAAGTGAGCTGGTGGCGGATGTCAGTTTTTTAAATGCAAAATGAAAACCAATAGCTTCTAATTTCCAGCTATTCTCAATAACTAATTAAACTGGTGGATGGTGACTAGCAGTAGAATGCGGGATGCGCATTCCGTCAGATTTGGGACTCGCCAGCCGGGTGTACCTGCACTCCCCAGTGACTCATAATATTCCCAGCGAGGCTCGAACCCAGTGCTCCTAGTTTCAAACGCCAAAGAGTTTATTTATAGACCACTTGGATTCGAGCCTCGGTGGGAACATTATCACTCACTAAGGAATTCAGGTACATCCAACTGACGAGTCCTAAATAGGACGAAATGCGCATCCTGACAGATTCCACTGTTAGTCACCATCATCCACCAGTTAAATTCTAACTACACGCCCTGACATCATCGAAGCGTCTGCACAAGAAGCTGATAGACACGTCAACCTGAGACTGAGCACTTCGGTTCAATCAATTGACGGAAAAATCTAAAATTCAACAACAACAACAGCAAGAACAAAAACCAATTAGTAATGAGAACTGTTTTGAAGACTTACAGTGTGTAGGGATTTGATTTACTTCAAGTTTAATCGCAGATTGATGTCAGTTAGTGAAACTATCGGAAACTATCAATGGGAATTGGACAGATGTTTTGTCCTAGTTTGGAACTCTTTAGTAGTAATCACGAATGACTCAATCAGGGATTGAACCCAACTCCTTCAGATAACGAGGCGAGTCTCATTGACCATTCAGTGACTTCGGTCAGAATCCAGTGGTACAGTACTCTCAGATTTTTAATGGTTGTCTCTAACAGACATCAATCTGTGATCAAACTTGAAACAGAACTGTTTTCAAAAAATTCTATACAAGAACTAACTATTTATAGATATATGTATATAATTGAACGTGATATGAAGATTGTAAAACAGGAGTAGCTAAATTAAATTAGACACTTGTATACAATTGGTGGATGGTGGCTAGCAGTGGAATCCAGGATGCGCATTTCGTCCTAATTGGGACTCGTCAGCTGGATGTACCTGCATTTCTCAGTGAGTGATGATGTTCCCACCGAGGCTCGAACCCAGTGCCCATAGTTTCAAACGCCAAAGCGTTATCCACTAGACCACTTGGGCCACGAGAGCCACCTCTTGTGCAACGGTCGAAGCATCTGCACAAGAAGCCGACATGTCAACCTGAGACCGAACACTTCGGTCCAATCAATCGACGGGAAAATCAAAAATTCAATTCAATAATTAAATTAGACACTTCTGTTTAAAAAAAACACTTCTCCAGATATTGATAAATCAGTTCAACAAGACTGAGTTGATGTCAGGGGAATACACGAAGCTAAATGACGTTTGTTCATATTCAATAGGTATTATTACTGTCTTTAAATACTTGTCTTTAATGCGAACGAAGTTATTCGTGTGGTGACTGTATTCCGTTGTACTTTAAAGAGTATGGAGTGGTTTCAAGTCATAACTACCTTTCTCTCTCTCTCTATTTATCAGAATATCTTTTGAATTTTGGGGATCTACTTTGATATTTCTTTCAAAAAGAATCTGCGAATGTTTGGCATGCGATTCGCTCCTGCTGTCAAATGTAATATGAGGCTACAGGACTGGACTACATCGACGCCTAGTTTAAAAGTAGGAAGTGAAGTGGTAGAGCACGTTGACCACTTCACTTATTTGGGAAGTACCATCAGCCAACGCCAACGGGTTGATCTCTGACGAAATCTCAGCACGAATACAAGGGGCTCGTTTCGCATTTACCAGTTTACACCGACTCTGGCGTAGACGAGATGTTCGACTATCGACCAAAGGGCGGGTGTACTGCTCATCAGTCCGCTCCGTCCTCCTTTATGGCTGTTGGTGAAACCTGGCCATTGAGAGTGGAAGACATGAAAGCACTGATTAGCTGTCTTTGATCATAGGTGCCTGCGTTCTATTTCCCGTGTAAAGTGGCATAATAAGGTGAGCAACATTGAGGTTAGGCATCGAGTTCTAAGTAAACAGGGGAAATCAATCGACGAAGTCGTGAAGTTACAAAGACTGAGATGGTTAGGACATGTGTTACGTATGCCAAGCCATCGCCTCCCTCGACGAGCAATGTTAGCGGATATAGGGTCAGGCTGAAAAAAAGCTAGTGGCGGTCAAACAAAAACTTGGCTTCACCAGTCAATGAAATCCACAACAGTTGGTCTAAGCCACGTAGAAAGGTGTAGACTTCCAGGCTGGGGTCCTCGGGACGGTAAAAATCTATGGTTGGAAACAATTGGTGACATGGCTCAAAATCGTTCTCAGTGGCTATCGCATATCCACCCACTCCTTGTGACTTATGATCTCCAATGAAACTGTTCTGTTTTTCTTTATTACTCCTTTGTCTCACACTTCTGCTCACTGTCTCTATTATGCTTTTCTTGTACTTTCTTCTCTTGCTTCGCGTGCTACACGGAGTGTGGCGACTTGAACTTCCGCACATTTGTGCAAAGTTCTATGTCGAAAACAGATAGACAGACAGTACTGCTCAACAGTTCACTGTGTCTTCCCTTTGTGGCTGGCTGTGAAACATGGCCATTGAAAGTGGAAGATATAAAAAGGCCGGCTAGCTGTGTTCGATCATAGGTGTCTGGGGTATTTTCTCTCGTGTTTGATGATAAATTAGGGTGAGCAATATCGAGGTTAGACGTCGAGTGTTAGGTAAGGAGGAAAAATCAATAGACAAGGCTGTTAAGTAACTTCAACTGAGATGGTTAGGGCATGTGTTACGCATGCATCCCTAGCTAACGCCTTCCTCGACTAACGGGTAGCTGGTAGCTGACACACAGTCAGGTTGGAAAACAGCCAGTAATAGTCAAACGAAAACATAGCTTCATCAGTCAATGAAATCTACAACAGTTATTTTGAGCCAGTCACGACTGCTTGGGATCCTCGGGATGGTAACAACCAATGAAGGCTGAAGACAATTGGTGATATGGCTCAAAATCCTCGTTCTCAATGGCTGACGGAGATGCATCCACTCCTTGTGACTTAAAATGTTGTCCTTCTATATTACTATTGTTTTCGCCTTATATTTCTATTTACTGTTTCTATTTTGCATTTCTTTTAACTTTCTTCTTCTTCTCTGGCTTTGTGTGCTGAGTGAAGAGTGTGACGAGTCGAACTAGTGCATATCGGTGCAAAGTTTTATGCTGAAATCAGTCTGTTAGTTACTTCTGATTGAAACATTTCTTAGGTATGACAAAATAGTCTGTCTGTCTATCTGTCTGGATTCAACATAGAACTTGCCACCGAAGTGCAACAGTTCGAGTTGCCACGTTCCAATTGGCACACAAGGTAGACAAGAAGATGAGTGAAGAGAATCAATACAGTCTGACAAGTATACGAGTGAAACAGAATGGGTAATGGTAGAAAGGAATATGAAAGATTACAGAGACTGAATACATCTGCACCAGTCACTGACAACGATTTTGAGCCATGTCACATATTGTCTCCAGCCATTGATTCCTAGAGTCCCAAGGGCCCCAACCCGGGAGTCTGCATCTCCCTACCTGACCAACTCAGTTTAACTGTCAGGGATTTCATGGATTGATGAGGCCATGTTTTTGTTTGGCCACCACTGGCTCTTTTCCAACCTACACCTATATCAGCTAGTAATGCCCGTCGGGGAGGCGGTGGTTAGGCATGCGCACCACCTGACCTAGCCATCTTAGTTTATGTAACTTTATAGCCTCGTCGATTGATTTTCCCTCTTTGCCCAACACTCTACGCCTAACGTCAGCATTACTTACCTTGTTAAACCACCTAACGTGAGACAGAGATCGCAGACATCTATGATCGAAGGCAGTCAACCTTTTCATGTCTTCAACTCATATTGGCCATGTTTCAGAGCCATAGAGAAGGACGAAATAGTAGTGAAAAATAGTGACAATAGTAGTGACAAAATAGTAGTGAAGACAATGAGAATTGTAGGATATGAGAATACTATTGTCCAAACACATAACAAGGTAATTCTTATAAACAAAAATTTTCAACATAATCATAAAACGGTTTTGTCATATAATTAATCAAGTACATAAATCACAATAGTTGGTGAGAGCGAGAACATGAAAGGCTTACCTGAAGGGCTTCTAAATCCTCAGGTTTATAACCAGAATGTGCATCAAGAAATTCTTTTTGTTCTGACTCAGGTTTATCTAGTCTCCTCCACATTTGTAATAGATAAGCTCTCAATTCTTCACAGGTGCCGACTAAACGAGCTTTCTCCTTTACAAGTCTTAAACGCCAATCAGTTAACCACTAGAAGGGAGACAAAAATACGAGGGAAAAATTGTTTTACGGAGGAAAAAGTACAAGGAAGAGGAAAATATCTGTATGATTAGAAACAATGTAAGTAAAAAGACACTAAAGGTAATAATCAATAATATTTGAAGGTGTGGTATCCACCGATTTTCACAATGACTATAACAAGAATAAATGATACGGAGTGAAAAGCAAAAGCAAACTGGTACACAATATTAACTTGGTTTGACTACTCTGTTAATTTTCGAGTGGAACATAAGCACTCGATAGCAGGTCACTGAAGCATATAGAAGAATTGATTTGACAGTAGTACTGAAGATTCGAATCCTGTTTGTTAAGTCTAGTGAGACAAATTTCCACACTGATTTCAGGTTAAATGAAGGGCTGTGTTTGACTTGCTGCCTTGGCTGCCTCCCGCTTTAACATCTTCATCCACGCCACCTATTGTTAACATTCACTGTTTAACTGTTTTTATGAAACTTTAGTCACTTATTTTCATCCCCTTGTGCCTAAAAATGATAATTCTTATGGACTAAAATAACCACATGATTGGGTATTACTAAGATGTAAAAAACTATAGATCAGTGTGAAGTTGATGATGTGGAACTAGCTGAAGAGATGGATTTCATCGCTCAATCTGCTGATTTTACTAACTGTGTAAGTGGGAATTTTCTATTTACTGAAATTATCTGAGGAACAATTTAATTGAATTTGAGATTTTTCCCGTCGACTGATTGTACTGAAGTGCTCGGTCTTCTGCAGATGCTTTGACGATGCCTGAACATTTAGTTAGTACTTAATTGGTGGACTGAGCACTTCGGTCCAATCAGTCGACAGGAAAATCTGAAATTAAATTAATATATGACCAGTTGCAAAAGAGGTGGCTCTCGTGGCCCAAGTTGTCTACTGGATAACGCTTTGGCGTTTGAAACTATGGGCTCTGGGTTCGAGCTTCCGTGGCAACATCATCACTCACTGAGAAATGCAGGTACATCCAGATGATGAGTCCCAAATAGGACGAAATGCGAATCCTAGATTCCACTGCTAGTCACCATCCACCAATTAAATATATCCGGTGAATAGTTTTTCACAAAACTGAAATATGATTGATATCCAGTGTCAAATGAAAGCTTACTAATGGCCTTTGGAAATCTTCTTGTTTACGCACGCTGTATAATCATCACAAGTAAAAGCAGTTGAAATAGAATACGGACATAAAGTAAAATCTTCAAAATGGCACTATCAAACACAAAGCCTTACACTTTCGGTTAGTGTATGATAAAATAAGACTTGGATAAACATCAGAAAGTGATTTGTGGAAAAATCAACAGCATAGATATCTGAAAAACCACGTTTTCGATGTGATTGTGTTCTCAGATATGGATAGTTAATTTGTGAAGCTTTTCATTGCCCTGTTAGGCAACATCAGCGTATTTTTGTTCATCTGTAGGTACCAGAGCGAATACTTTAAGCTTTCACTATGTAACTACTAATAAGTAGTTTGAAATATGCAGCATAATTTTACACTACCAAGATATACATATATTTGACTGGACACTTGTGTAACGTGTGTAGTCCTCTGTTTAGTGCAGACTGAATTCTATCAGTCGAATTTGCAATTTAGCCACCATGCTAGGTGGCTCATAATCACAGTGGACTGTGAATCCACAAGTCATCGAAATGCAAAAGCTCGCTTCCTAATTTCGAGGTTGCGGTAGTCATAAGTGCGTACTACTACTGAAGAGTCCCAAACTACGACAGCACAACAGCTGTCCAGTTATCCTCGATTTTGAATAGTTCATTAGATGATATCCATCCGTGGTATAACTTCAAAATATGATAGTAATAGACACTGAAGTCAAAATTTACCATATAAAGTGCACAAGTGTAGCTTGTATATATAGTGTCTGAATATTTTGCAAATAAACTAATTTTCAAAAAAATTGTACACCAAAAATCACATAAGATAAACAGGACTAAAATAAATGCACAGGAAAATTTTTAAAATCAGGATTAGGTTATATTAACAGTATTGATAATAATTCTAGTAGTCCTAGACTAATCAGTCAAATAATAAGGGCAAATTGATATAAATCCCTCCTACAGTGAAAATTCTCTAAATAGTAATATACACATCATGTTACTTAGCGTAATAATAAGTCCGAAAAGCACACACGCACACACACACACACACACAAAATCAATCCAGCTGTTCAAGACATGAAAAGTTAATCTGTCTACAGATTTACTTAAAATGCGTCAAAACATTTCCTAATTTCAGAAACATAAACTATTGTATGTAAAAGATGTTGTATAAAAAGATTTTTTACAGATTCAACCACGAGCTCATATCAGTTAGAGAACCAGTAGAAAACCAACAGGCGGAACTGGATAGCTATTTCATCCCAGTTTTGGACTCTTCACAGCATTACGCACTACTTACTGGGGTTCCAACCCACGACTTTACGGTTTTCAGTCAGGGTCGTAAACCATTCAGCTATTATAATGGGACACGATCTAATTTCAGATTCTGCCAACTCGAGGTATATAGCGCAACATTTGTGGACAACTATTCTCTTGCCAAACTGGGTAAACTGCACTGTTCACAACTCCTCAATAGAATTCCAGATAACTTTCTGTAAAGAGTAGATCGCTAGTGAACATCCGATTAATTATGAAGAGTTGATTTGCAGGGATTCCTGTTAGTTACCTGGATGAAACAGCTATACAGTACACCATGGTTTTCCAATGGTTCTCTGTCCCTGATGAGTTCGTGATCACACCTGTAACTAATCAATCGAATGTGTGCAAAGTAACACTCGATAATATAAATTTTTATCACTCTTACAATCATACAAGTGTTAACCTTAACTATAGTCGAAGTGCTTTCGATATTGATATTTTATGATTACTGGTTTATATCAATCAAATAAACATCTAATATTCAAGTATTGGTTTGTAGGGATTTGGTTGATTGGTTACAGGATTTCACCATGAGCTGACATCAGTTAGAGAACCATTGGAAAACCTGGGAGTACTGGACAGCTGTTTCGTCAGCCTATTTTGGGACTCTTCGGTAGTACGCACACACCGGGATTTGAACTCAGGACCTTCTGGTTACAAGGCGAGCTCGTATACCATTCAGCCACTGGGACCCGGTCTAATGGCCAGTCCATGAATTCTAACTTCTACCAATTCAAGATGGTATACGAGCTCGCCTTGTAACCAGAAGGTCCCGGGTTCGAATCTCGGTGGGGCGTACTGCTGAAGAGCCCCGAACTAGGACGAAACAACTGTCCAGTACTCCCAGCTGGTTTTCCAATGGTTCTCTAATCGATGTCAGCTCATGATGAAATCCTGTATCCAATCAACCAAATCCCTACAAACCAATACTTGTATACCAATGAGATGCTCACTGGAGACTGGCCCTATTCAGGTAGGTAGTCACCTGGGGTTCCAGTGGGAAGTCGTGACCAGTAGGGTGCAGCAGGTCGGGTGTGAGGACAAATACTCGCCGAAGACATTGGCTAGGGGTCACGCCTTGTCGCGAATTGGCAGAAGTTAGAATTCATGGACAGGCCATTGGATCGGGTCCCAGTGGCTGAATGGTATACGAGCTCGCCTTGTAACCGGAAGGTCCTGGGTTCGAACCCACTTGGTGTATGCGTACTGATGAAGAATTCCAAACTAGCGTAGACGAAACAGTTGTCCAGTACTCTCAGGTTTTCCAATGGTTCTCCAACCAATGTCAGCTCATGATGAAATCCTGTAACTAAACATCTAATAATTATCTTTACAAAGTGTTGCATTGGTAGATATTGAAATGACTTGAAGACATATTATATCACGAGCCAATTTCTGTTAAAGAGTAATCAAACAGTAGAGAGTACTGGAAAGTCGTTTCATTCTCCTTTTTGGAAGATCCTATGATCCTACCCCACTATATCGCAAACGAATAGGGGCTAAAGTGTATAAGTCATTGGACTTCAGACATGCGGCTGAATCATGAATCGCTCACCTCCTAATCTCAAGGTTATCAATAAGTACTGAAGAGGAGTTTCAAACTGGGATGAAACATCTATCCAGTGACTACTTATTTAAGTGATGCATTCGCAATCTCTCCTATCATCTGATACTTATCACAACACGACTATAACCACACTATAAGAAAAATGGCTCCATGAACTATGTGGCGATACGATGGCATCACTAAATGGTTTTACATTATTCAGACAATACCGACTTTGTTCTGAGAAGAGATGCGTAGGACGACTTGAAAATTTTATTTATTCCAAGTGGTCGATTTCAAACAATGTACGTTTTACATTCTCAAGTGTTTTTGTTGACTGTTTTACTGCCAAATGTCATCCCAAAACACTTGTCAAAGTACAAATACATTTTCAACTAAAATATTCATGTTACGCCCAGTTGTGCTGTATCGGATCTATCTGATTGTAAAAACTTCATGCAATTCTTCCTATTAATAAACTTGAACAAAGCAAGGACAACAACTGTACCAGGATAATACGAGCTAATCTTTTATTATTTCGAGGATTCTTCTCAACTGGTTACAACCTGAACGTTAAAAAATATGAATTACATTAAAGATATGAACATACTTTTCCACGATCATAAGAAGTAATTGGTAGGAATTAAAAGTAACATTAGTCCGGAATGATTTAACTAATTCGGAGTTACAAACACTGACTATTTATAGAATAATTAGACAATTAGGCTTGGAAACAAAAACAGGGTTGCGTATATATATATGTGTGTGTATAGAAACAAGGTTTAGCTAGAAAGAGCATAACAACAAAGTAGATTACGTAACTAAAGAAAACGTCTTATCTAATAGCCAATAGAAAAAGGAAAGAAAAGAAACAAGGTAGGGTGAGTCATGTTTAGATGAGAGATGATGAGAACTCTCTGTCAATACTCACTGGTGACTTGGATTCCTGTGACTATTCCCTCCGTGAGTAACTTAACCATGCAAATAT